TTTTTTTTTTTAACGAGGGGAAATGCAGTTCCGCACCCCTGCGCCGGGCCAGTGTGCAATGGCGCAGGGAGTGTGGGGCTCGCCTAAAGTCGTTCGGCCATACCCACTAAAACCCCTCAAGCCCTCCCTATCGCATTTATCCTAGCCTGTACCAGCGTCTGCCATAACCAGGCGTCGGATATGCGCCGTCGCTCACAAAATCGTGCGACTCTCCTTATTTGTTCATAAAATATTAAAAAAAAACATAAACATAAAACACACCTTATTGTAAACTTAGAAAAAACCAATATATCCATATACATAACAAATAACACAACAAACAAAACAAATAAAAACAAAACAAACAAACAAAAACAAATATCAATAAAAAAACACCAAAAAAAAACAAAAACACAAAAAACCAGACTTACTTAGAGCGAAATATACATGGAATATAAATAAACTTAAGAGTATAATTTTAGACTATTTGATATTAAAACTGGTATAAACAACTATATACAAATATACAGGCTTCTATTTACACGGTCTACGCCTGGCGGGTTACAAAAGCGCGCCGGCGTCGACCTGCCCTTCTACGCCGGAGAGGGGCGGATTCCGGATCGGTCTCGCGCTCCCTCTCGGCATTCTCCTTTGTTGCCATCACTCGCTCCGAGAAATCGTGGAATGACTTCCACGCATCCTCGGATAGGAGTATCCTGCGGATGACCTCCGCGAGTGATGACGCGTCAATTCCGGTTGTATTGGCAATGGGTCGCCTCTCAGCTTCCCACGCCGGACATTCAAACAAGGTATGGGCGACGGTGTCGCTGATCTCAGGACAGTGGTGACACCTCGGTGTTGGTTCCCTACCGGCAATTTGGTGCAGATACTTGCCGAAACAGCCGTGGCCAGACAACATCTGCACCAGCCGGTAGGAGAGGTGCCCCCACCGCCTGCTCACCCAATTACGCAGCCTAGGACGGATCGCGTCCACCGTCCACGACCCGGCCCTGCAGGACCCTAACTCCTCTTTCCACCTTTCCATCGCCCGATTTTGGGCGCAGTCTCTCCAGACTTTCACCTCCTCAAAAGTTGGTTCTTCGCCCGTCTCTCGCCTACTGGCCCTGCGCCAGTAGACCGCTGCTAAGGCGGCCGCGTCCAGGTGCCATGGCAGCAGGCCCGCGATGACACACCCAGCATCGTACGACACCGTACGGTATGCCCTCGCGACCCTGATTGCCACAGCACGCTGCGACCGCCGAAGGATCGCCCTGTTCTGGGTGCAGAGATCGTCGGCCCAAACCGGACAGCCGTATAGGGCCTTCGACCTCAGCACTCCCGCCAACAAGAGGCGGCGTTTCGTGCTAGGGCCACCGATGTTAGGTAAAATGCGACTTAGTGCCGCAGCTGTTGCATCTAGCCTCGGGGCTAAATCCGCGAAGTGCGGTCGAAAACTCCACTTCGAGTCGAGGGTGAGACCTAAGTATTTGATGGTCGAACGGATGGGAATAGAAGCACCCCCGACTATGAGTTCTAGCCCCAACTGGGGCGCTCTCCTGCTGTCGAAAAAGCAGATTGCCTCCGATTTCTCGAGGGCGACCCTCAGACCCAAACTACGAATCTTTGCCGAGACTTGCGAGGCCCCGGCAGTGGCCCGCAGCTTTGCCTCCCTAAAATCCGACCCCGTGGCTACGACGAGCGTGTCATCCGCATAACAAAGAAGTTGAACTCCGCGGACGAGCGCTCCCCGCAGCACGGAGTTGTAGCCTATGTTCCACAGGAGTGGACCCAGAACCGACCCCTGTGGAACTCCACAAGAAATGCCATAGCTTCCCCAACCGTCTTGTGTGGGAAACACGATTCTCCTGTCCCGCAGGTAACAGCTGATGATTCGCCGCAGGTACAGGGGGACGCGATGATGTAGAAGTCCCGCCATTATACTGTCCCAAGGCAGGGTATTGAAAGCATTAGCAATGTCGAGCGACACCGCTATCGTTACCCTGCCTTGAGATCGCGCCTCTTCACAAATACTCCGAAGCTTGGAGATGGCGTCTATCGTCGAACGATGCCGTCTGAACCCATATTGGGTGTCGGCCAAGTCCGGCCCTGCTGAGGATAGATGGTCGTTGATGCGACCGGCAATCACCCTCTCCAGCAACTTGCCGGCCTCATCAAGTAAAACAATCGGGCGATACGCCGACGGGGAGTTCTCCGGTTTCCCGGGTTTCCTCAGCAGGACCAGCCTTCCCGTTTTCCACTTCGACGGGAATTTGCCTTCCTCCAGACACATGGTAAGCAATGTTTTAAGCTGTTCGTCAAGTCCGTGATTGAGTGACAGAGCAAGCACCTTCCCGTGTATCCCGTCGGGACCTGGGGCAGTGCGCTTGCTCTGCACTTTCGCCTTAGCCGAGAGTATTTCCGACTCGGATACCCCCGGGACAGAACCGGGAGGTATCGAGTCGGGAAAGTCCATTCCGGTGTTGCGGGCGCTGGGAGGGAAGAGTGTCGACACTACAGATGATAGGAGTGCCGGATCTAGGGTAGAGGTAAGTGGTGGGGCCCAGGGACGCAGCTTGCTCATTACAAGTTTGTATGGCCGGCCCCATGGGTCCGCCTCTAAGGTACTAAGGAACTCCTCCCAGGCCTGGTCTTTCGCAGTGGTGATCTCGCACCGAAGAGTCTTTTTGGCCTCCTGGTACTGGGAGTAGAGACGCCGCTCTTCAGACTCCTCCCAACCAGGACGTCTTCTTCGATAACGAGTGTACCGGCGGCGGGCAAGCACACAGGCAGAACGCAACTGTGAAAGATTGTCCGACCACCAGTACACTCGATTGCGTCGTCGCGGCGACGGCCGAACCTTGGCCATGGCACAGTTGGAAATTTGTGCTAGAACTTCACCAATCCATAACACGCCATCGTCAACGCACTTCTCCTCCATTCTAGCGGACCACGTCCCCACTATGGTGGCGAGCTCTGCAGTCTCTCTGTCGAGGGATCTTAGCGACCACATTTGTCCAATCTCCGGGGGAAAGGCGTCATTCTGTCTAATCGGGGGTGTCGACAAAGGGAGGATTTCGAACCGGATGTACCGGTGGTCCGATAATGTTTCCACCTCAGTCAGCACTTTCCAATCTTGCACGCGACATGCCAGGGCGGGACTCGCGAGGGTGATATCCACGACAGACCCGCCCTGCATGCGCACACAGGTGTGCTCGGAACCTGTGTTCAGTGGTGTCAAATCGTGCTGCGCCATCCACGCCAAAAGTACCTCGCCGCGGCTGTTGGAGACGGAGGAACCCCATGCCCTTGACTTTGCATTTAGGTCCCCGGCCACGACCACCGCAAGCGGTCTTCCCCAACGAATAAAAGAGGAGACTTCGTCTAAATACGCCTCAAAATCCGACAGTGCACGATTGGGAGAAAAATAGACACCAATCAAAACCATGCCGGGAAATTTGACACCTACACAACCTTTCCCTTTTTTGACAGAGACAATTGGGGGGTGGTCGCCTGCGTATATCGCGACTAGTTGGTCAAGATCTCCCACCCAATTGCT